AGATTGCAGTCTAAAAGTTTTTGCAGAATTTCAGTGGCTCAGGATTGCACCTATGTTGTCTTCGGGAATAATCCACTATGAAATTCTCCTGTGCAAGTTTTAAGTAATTAAAAAGGTTTATATAGTTTCCCTTCCCTGCAGATTGCACTTTTATGGTGTAGCTCAATCATTTACCTATTTCCTTAAAAGTTAAGCCCCACTCAGGTGAATGAGATTTTCTCCTGAATAAATGTCATAGACTTTAATCTCTCCACTTCTGCTATTTCTTTGTCTCCAGATGTGTTCTCTGTGTTGCCGCTACCTGTCCTGATCCTTTGGCATAAGACTGAAACTATAAATAAATCCCATTGCATCACCATTTCCATGATGTCAGTTGTTTCACTGCATAATTCCCAGTCCTTCAAGCTGAATAATGGGGCCAGATTGTTTATGAGATAGGCTCTTATGAGATGAACTACTTAAAAAAATAACTTTTATTTTTTGTGTTACCCAAAGATCAAGGAGCCTAGGTAGCCATGCTAGCACCAAGGGTCAACATGGTTCGACTTCTGCCAAGGCCCATAGCCCAGCAGAGGGCCCACTGCTGACAAGAAAGAGGTGGCCCGTGTGCTTCTACCACGAATAGGAGACCATCCATTCCAGATACCTTGCCTGGCTGGGGGTGGGGCTTATAGCAGAAAACATGCAGGATCTTATTAGATGAACCGGTAGTTAAAGAATATCAAAATTTAGTTTTATATTTAATTGTCACTGTTCTAGTAGTGTATGCAAGACACAAGACATTGCATATAATTTCATCAAGGTAAGTGTGACTGCAAAAAGTATGGTAGCTGACAGTGACAGTCAAATAGGTGGCCTATTTTTTTAAAACAGATGTCTCAGCACATTGAAAGTGGATTGAGAACTGGTTGCTAGTTCTGCTGTACTGTTTAAACTGTTTTCAAAATACTAATTTGAATTTGGAATGACTTAATCTAATATGAAAATTAAACAACTAGATTAATCTTAAGCATGTTTTGTATTTATACATGTGTTTTTCTATTAGTTTATATTTCATTGACTTGAATTTTTGTACTCTTGAAATTGCAAATAAGTATTAACATTAATTTGAGGAAGTACATAGCACTGGAAGCAATGGGACTTTTCCCTGTAGTGTGTAAATGCTGATTTCCCTGTAGTGTGTAAATGCTGATGCCTACAGAAACCAGTGGTAATGCATTTCTTAGACTGCCCTGATGGGATGTATGTTTGACTGCTTCTCTCCGGGGAACAAAATACTCTATGCACTTTGAACCCAAGCCTTTTCCTTGACAGGCTAGGTCAGGGGTGTCAACCATGCGGCCTGGGGATCAGATTAGGCCCCCAGAGGGCTTCTATCAGGCCCGCAGTGAAACTGGCTGTCTTCTGCTGCTTCTTCCAGTTCTGCTGCTGCTGCTGCATCATCGTAAGTTTGCAGTTTACAGATACAGACCTGAACAGCATACTCAAGATTGCAACAGCACAGACATTTTGATGCAATAATTCAGAGCAACAGGTGTCAGTTATCAGACACTGTTAAATAAACAAAATATTGCAAGAGTGCTAATGTATATAAAGTTTACCTGGCATTACATTTTATGATACACATGGCCTGGCCCAACAAGGTCTTATTTATGTCAGATCTGGCCCTCATAACAAATGAGTTCGACACCCTTGGGCTAGGTTGTTTGATGTACACTATTTTAGATGAGGAATCATTAAAAAATGCCATCCCTACTTGCCCCCATCACTATTCCTACTATTTGATAATAATGCAACTGTTTAGCATTTATAGAGTGCTTTATAGTATTCAAAGCACTTAGCTGGAAAGAGTTGGTTCTTCATTTTGGGGGGCCCTGGGCAGAAAAGGTTCAGCTCCCCCATGCCCAAAATGAGGCCCTTTTCTTGTCCACCCACCCACTCAGAAGAAGAGTTGGTTTTTATACCCTGCTTTTGACTACTCAAAGGAGTCTGAGTGGTTTACAATCATCTTCCCTTCCTCTCCCCACAACGGTGGGGCTGAGAGAGCTGTGACTGACCCAAGGTCACCCAGCTGACTTCATGTGGCGGAGGAGGGGGAACCAAACCAAGCTCGCCAGATAAGAGTCCACCACTCTTAACCACTACACCCATGTACTCCCACCTGCCTATACATCCTTTCTCTGCCCATTTGGATTTTTCTCGCACCAGCTGCAGTCACAACTGCCCACACTGCTGGGTGCTAGATGGTGTGGAGCTAGGAGTGTCACTGTCATGGCCACCAGGAACGTTGATGCTTTGTGCACCATCCACAAGACCTCCTCCAGCAAAGCTAGGCAGCATATGCAGCTGGAAGCACAGTTGACAAAGCATTCACAAGCAGGCAGTTGAAGGGTTTGAGTGCAGGCATAAAAAGAGATGTGTGAATAGGGAGTCAGGAGGAGTGGGCCCCACCAGAAGCCATGGATCCTGGCAACTAGCCCTCCTAGGGTATGCTGACACCGGCCTTAGCTGGAGCTCTGACTTGCGGAAACACAGTTGACAAAGCATTCACAAGCAGGCAGTTGAAGGGTTTGAGTGCAGGCATAAAAAGAGATGTGTGAATAGGGAGTCAGGAGGAGTGGGCCCCACCAGAAGCCATGGATCCTGGCAACTAGCCCTCCTAGGGTATGCTGACACCGGCCTTAGCTAGAGCTCTGACTTGGGGAAAGTATCATCTGTTGATTCTCTGCCTCTTTTGCAACTTATAAAAGCACACCTACATGGTCAGATGAAAGAAAAGTTAAGTTGAATAAGTAGTGCTGTGTTTTTGGTGGTGTGCAGCAAATAGGGCAGCTTTTTCCTTGCAAACCTAGCATCAACTATTTAAATGCCTCAAGTTATAAAAATATGCAGAGCCTAAGCAGAGGAAGGAGGGAGCATGTATAATAATTTTTTTAGTAAACAATCGTGGCTACAAATAGAGCAACAAGAAATACTTCCAAAACCCCTACATTAAATCATCTGGCATTCTCTCAGTGGGGCTTTTTTGACATCTCTACATAACCCATTTTTAAAGTATACACTACAACTATGGCAGAAATATAGACAAATATTGGCCCCAGGTGTTTCAACCATAGCTGCACTGTTCGGACAGACCTGGTTCCCTCTGGGCATGGACTCCTCCTTTTTATATAAGATTAGAGACAAAGGTATATTTAGAATTGGTGATTTTATAATTAATGAAAACATTAGTACCCAGCAACAGCTTGAAAACAAATTTGATATTACGCTTCCTTGGTTGCAATATTTTCAATTAAATCATGCTCTACATGAACTTATCTCTTCTTCTCCATTAGATAGATCTTTAACATCTTTTGAGCAATTTGTTAAGAAACAAGGTAATGGAATACAAGGATTGTTAGCACTAAGTGTTAAGTGTAAAAAGTTGGAAGGCACTCACTGCTATACAACAGGCTTGGCATAAAAATTGTGGTATAACATTTTCAGAAAAACAATGGCTACATATTTGGTCGTCTAATTTATTTACAAGTCGATCTTCACAATGTAAATTACAACATGTTAAAATCTATACAAGATGGTATTTAACACTGGAGCGTTTGTTCAAAAGCAAACTTAAGGCCTCGCCTATTTGTTGGAAGGGATGCAACACAGCTGGAACCTTCATACACTGTTGGTGGGCATGTCCTAAAATTCAATCCTACTGGAACAACATTTTGAATGAAATCAAAAAATTTACTGGATACAGTCTCCATAACTCGCCGGAATCCATTCTCTTAAATTACTGGCCTGATTTATAGCTTTCCAAACAACACAGAGAGTTAATTTCACTTCTACTTGTTGCGGCAAAGAACTTTATAGCTTCGGTCTGGAAGTTACCAAGAGTTCCTACACTCGCACAACGGAAAAACAAACTTTGGGACATAGCAGTTTCTGATAAAATAGCAATGCAATTGGTGGCAATGGACAACCCTACTTCTACCAATGACTTTTTAGGAAAATGGTTAGTGTTCTTTGATTATGTTACAGCACATCAATCGGACCAATATAAGCTACCACACAAATATAAGAACTTTGTTTTTTATTGATGGTCCTTAACATTAAGAGTGGACTATTGATAGTCAAATTATTCCATGTCTAATGTTTTCATGGTTGTAATTATTTGTTTATTCTGATTTAATAACTTTTCAATACTTCACCTGTTGTAACCCCTATACTATATTGTTATGTTTTATGTACTTAATATAAAATTAATACAATATTATTTGCAAATAATAATTTTTATAAATTTATTTTTTCCCTTTCAGATTGTATTATGAAATAGGGTTGTGGGCTTCAGAGGAATGATACTCAATGGGCACTAAATGTAAATTATTAAATTCATGCATTTTGTGCAGAATGTATTTTTTTAAGAAAAGGGGTTCAGAAATTACAATGGAGAGAGGCAGCTAGATTTCCAGACCCCAGACCCCTCCAAAAGCCTTTCTTACAGAAAACTGGGGTCTGTCTCATTGATTAGAAAACGGTGCTTTCCCAAAGTGAGCCGTGACTCACAAAAGCTCATCCCCTGCCACAAATTTTGTTAGCCTTTAAGGTGCTACTGGACTCCTGC